AGGGATTACCTAATTAATCTAACGAGTTTGCAGCGGGGACATGAACCTCAGTGACCTGCTGGGCACCGTGCAGCCTGCATGCATGCCTGCCCCGGGGAAATCAAGGGAGTTTCCAATATGGGACAGCCAGGCCTGAAGGCTGTGGCGCACATGGGCCGGAGGGTTTGAGACAAAGGCTCTTCTCTCTTCCACCTCCATCTGCAAAGCAGCACATTCAGGCAATGGGCTAACTCAGCAAGTTGTCTGACAAGACGTGCTGTCCCTGAGAAAGCATCCCGAGTGACGCGGCCAGCTTGCAGATCACCCATGCGCAACAAACGGTGTGACATGCAGCTTGAGTGGGGCTATTAGCAACTTTAAAGGCAATGAATTGCTTTTAAATAAATACCTATTTATTTAAAAGCAAGGACTACCGCGGGGGCCTTGTTTTAATGTGCTGTGAAGAAACAGGCCTGTCTCCCTGCACAAGGATTCCTCTCCTGGCACGGTTCTGCAGATGGATGAGCGTTGGCTGGCTGCACAGATGGCACTTCACCCCAGAAGTGGCTGCATTTGGTGGTGGATGAAGAGATTTCTGCTTGCACAGCTCACAAAATCTGTTTTAAACTCCCAGCTTCGGGGGTTGGCTTCTCAGATCACAGTACAGCAGCCTTGGAGAGATGCATCACTCGTACGTGGGTTATGCAGACACAACCCTTTTCTGGATCCCCTCTCTCCTGTCCCAGGGCCGGGGAACTTCCGAGTACAGATAAGCCAGTCCCAGCAATTGGGTGGTAGTAGCAATCTGATATCAAATTTGGCTTCCCAGTTTCAGTACCTCCTCTCAAAGGTAGCCACAGGCAGCTTACCAAACCCACTCTCTGGGGACCAGGTCCTCAGGCCTGCAACAAAAGCATCTTCGCTGCGTGTTACCTGCATTCCCTGTCCATTAACCCCCCACCCCTGCTTCCAAGGAGCATCAACACGAGGGGTGATTGGATAGAAAGATTTTATCATCGAGAATTTTTTTTGAAGTCTACATTTAAAAAAAAAGACCATCGTATTTTTTACACGTACATTACAAAACCTGCAATCAGGGGTCTTCAACCTGGGGAGACAGAACCAATTATAAAAAAAGTACGAAAGCTTGGCTTAACAACAACCGGCAGAGGAACACAGAGACAGACGCTGTTAGGAAAGAACGGCGGGGCCAGACTCTGAACTCGGGGAGACGGGTGTAAATCTGGAGCTGCGTGCTTGCAGCCAGTGACCTTCCTCCTGATGTACACGGGCACGGACCCCCAGGATCAGGGCCGTCATTACTCACTTGGTGGGGGCGGGTGGGAGGCAGACAGTCCTTGACCTGGAGTCCAAGCCTGGATGCGGCCACTCTGATATTTTGCTGGTGAGGTTTCAGAGGGGAGCTTTTAATCCTCTGCACTCTTTCAGTCTGAGAGAGCGCGTTTCCTCAGGCTGAGCACCCAGAGGATGCGCTAGCGTGGCCCATTCGCAGCATGGCTCATTGGACAGCATGCTGCGTCTCCTCCCCGTCCCACCACGGTTACCCAGCAGACCCCACCGATACAAGTGGAAATAATTACTCTGATAAATATATTTATGTCATATAGGAAATAAGGCACTTTGGGAGCGTTATGGCTCTTCTAGTTCTACATCATTCTAGTTAGGAAAAAAAAAAAAAAATCAGTTAAGTTTCTGAAATGCATTAAAATGACTAAAGTTAATACAGCAATACAATCTGATCCACGTCCCCCTTGAAGGCTTTGTGGGGAAAAACACAGGTGGAAAACCGTACCCAGGGCAGCTGAGAGGGATGTGGGAGGACATGCCTCTGCCCCTGGCCAAAGCCAGGTCCAGCGCCCTTCAAGGGCAGGTTCTTTCCAAGCCAGCACACTGAACGTGTCCATGGACTACAAATCTCTTCCTTCTGAAATTAGACTTCCTGCAGCTCCATGGCCATCTGGGACTTGCCAGGAGCCGTTTCCCTGGATTTGGTCTGGTGCACTATGACTGATAAGGAGAGGAGAGACCAGTGAAGGTCAGCGACTGCAGATGAGCCCTGGAAACGTGGACTAGGCATTCCCCATGTGCGAGTGCGGGGGGGAGCGCAGTGAGCAGCAGCCAAGCACTGCAGCTGAGAACACAGTGAGAATGTCTAACCGCTAACCAGCATCACGCTGCTTAGAAAGGACAGACACCGTGACCGGCCTGGACGCTCACTGCAAAGCGAGAGAGCCGATGGCACATCAGACCCAGGCTGCACTGGGCTGGCATCTCCACGGGAGCCCACCATCTTCTGCTTCTGTTCCTGTCTCCCCCAAGGGCAGCTCTGGACAGCCCTTTCAAGTGCCTCCTGCTCCCCTCTCCGGATCTGTTAGCTGCTGGGTGCTCCCTCGGCTGTGCTGTTGGCTGTTGTGACAGGCGCAGTGCATGCAGCGAGGTTAGCAAAGAGGTCAGGCAGCCGCTCAGCCAATCGCCATGGCGTTGCTACAAATGGGTCAGCAGGCTTCTAATTAGAGTACAACCACCCTGCGGAGACTGTTCTTGGCACCTATTTCCCTTCCCCACCACTACTTTAAGGATTGCTCAGAACCTACCTGGCTACCCACGGCTCTGCGCTTCCCCCAACGGGCTGCTGAGCAGTTGAGATCAGCAGTACTTAGCAGTAATTTTGGTATCACCCCCATCTGCAGATGTGGGGAGAGGGTGGTTAGGGACCCCTAGCACCTGTCTACAGCTCCCACTGGAGATGCACTCTGAAGGACTTAGTGCTTCTGAAGCACAATTGCTTTTCAGCTAGGCTGGCAAGAATAGAAGCGTTTCTCCCCCCTTGATGGGAGATGCTGCTTCTGTCTGCACAATGACAAAAGGATTGAAAACTCAATGGCATGGGCGTGGAGAACGGTGGGCAGAGCTGGGGGCAGGTCCCCGAACAGTCTAACTGCACCCTCCCCACAAGCCAGCTGCACACAGAGGCACTGCCCATCACCGGTCACGATGGAGGCGGCACCTTTCCTACCCAACGTGAAAGGAATGCTAGTTCCCTCTTCACGAGGGCATGGGCTTAGCCAAGGCAGCTCTCAAACCCAAGCTGGGCTTTGTGTGCTTTTGGTTTCCAGAACACTGTGATGCACTTGGACATGGGAAGATTTGTTCCCTTTTCCAAAACTGAAACTAATGCAGGCCCCACTGGGAAGTCGTGTAAGCATCACTGCCCACATCTTTTGAGGATTCTGGTTTATGCTCTGGCCTTGTTGCTAAACTGCATCAATGCAGAGGCCCAATAAATTAGTCTCACTGGTGTTTATGGTTAAACTGAAACTTGACAACAAGCGCCTTCATTAGCTTGGTCCCTGGTCCTCTAGAAGAACCTAAGAGCTGCGACAGTTGGTTATTAAAGAGAGAGACAGAGAGAGAGAAAGGCACTCAGAAATGCAAGAATTCAAATGTTATAAAAAGCAACGAAGCTCGAGAAGGGAGCTTTGGCAACACAGGAACGTTAAGCTGGTTCCCACGTATCAGCAGCATCCTTGCTTCAATACCTGAAAGCGGTGAGAAGGCACACCACAGATGGAAGGGAAGGACAGGCACATGTTGTCAGAGTCCTTTAGAAGGGGCAGGGCAGGGACCGCAGTCTCCCAGAGAGACTTCAGAACTGCTCCTTTATAGCACACTGACGGGCTTGGCTAGTTGGGACCAAGTAAGGTATGGAAAATGCACCTGCTTCCCAAAGGAATTCTGGTCTCTCTGCTCTGGAGATACTTCTGCTCAATTAAAAAAAAAAAGGCAATAAAGGTATCTAAGTGAAGTCAGGTAATCCAAGCTCCCCAGTTCCCTGGGATGCACCTCTGGTCAGGAATTTGTACCCTTATGTGGGAAAGGAGCTGTTAAGAAAATTTACTGAGAATTACACTAGTGAAATATGGATGTGAAGCGATGGAAAACCAACAACATGGGTTAGGTCTAATGTTACTACTGGCTGACTTGGTTTGCAGACAAGACACCTTTATGCAATATGAAATCCTTTTTCTCAGGGTAGGAGACAGCAGCACAGGTTAAATACTGGCTTTTCGGTGGCTCATGTTCCTGCATAAAGTGCACAATTGACCTCACGGAAAAGCACCCCTAATCTACCTGACCAATGTGCTGCTCTAAGCAGGCTGAATGAGATGTGAAGACATCGCACTTGAGCCCTGGCTGTAACTTAGCTGTAACCACGCTGAATGCCCAATGTACCCAAAGCCTGTATTGCACCCAGAGCACCCTGCCCCTTCCAGTATCACCAGTTCCACCTCCTTGTACTGGACAAATTGTAGAGCTGACTAGATAACCAATAAAGCCCTCCTGGCACGACAGATCATGTGGTGCCTAGCAAGGCCAGTTTTGTCAGCGCTCCAGACGTGACAGGGGAACTGCTTGGTCTGGTAACACCTCTGCTTACCCAGGAGGAGGCAGCCAGCTGAGCAGACTGCTCAGGCTCCAGCCTTTTAACTCAGACTCTGCTGACAGATTCAGAGGCACAATAAAGGATATTCAGGGCAGTGTTTGGTGGGGGGAGAGGCAGCTCTTAAAGAAAACCTAGTGCTGACATTTCCATTTGGTGCACCCTGCCATCCCGCGATGAGGCAGGCAGCTTAACTCGAGTTAGCTTGGAAACCCTGGGATAATGGTGCTAATTGCCAAAGAAGTTATTTAGCAATGGATTGCACTACAGAAGGGACATTACTATTTCCCTGCAGCATTAACTGAGGAGGGAGAACCAATTATGTCCGCTACTTCCCTCGAGTTGCTGCAGTGAGAAAACTGACTGAATTTTTTTTTTTTT